ACAAAAATGAAAACCAGCGAAGAAATGGCTAGAGTTGCCAAGTTCCCCTTTAAATTGGAGGCGTGTGACCAATTCTTCGAAATTAGTATAGGTAACGCCCCCAAAGAAAACATTGGTAAATCATGGATAAAAACAAAAATAAGAGACAGTTTGTTCGAATATCGCTTCTTGCATCAGGCCCATTGTCTCTTTTTAGCTGTTATACAATATATAATTTATAAACCTAATTATTTTATATTACATAAACTAATACTAACTAATGATAGAATAACATTATACAATTACTAATAATTAGTAAAAAATATTCATTATCATTTCATTGTTAACAGTGAAATAACTCAATTTACCATTCCTCAGTGATGGTTATTATCTTCATGATTCAGTTGACGTACATGTAAATGTTTTGCAATTGTGTGCAAAACATCTACAAGCTGAGAGCAAGGGTGTGAAAGAGACTGTAGACACACACAGAGTGAGCGAGAGAGACTGAAGTGAGAGGAGGAAATATTAACTGGGGGTTAATGGTCCAAGTAAAAGCCCACTTAGTTAATCGATGGCCTCAATGAACTTTTTATTCCTGCCAATTGAGAGTGACAGAGCTGACAATGATCCCAGTCCACCCACAGCTCCACTCAACAGGCCAGAGGACTTTATTGGTGGCTGATGGTGGTTTGATCTTGATCTACAGCTTGCACCCCATGCCAACACTCCTTCCAGACAAACCAGCAGCAATAATACGATTAAAATACACACTCTGAAGGGAGTATAGAATGACATTTATTGACTTTTGACCTTAAACCATCCTAAATCTTTATTCTGAATTAACCATATTTTATGTCATCTTACCAATATATACTTAATACATTAACACATATTTATATACATAAATATGATCAACAGATACAAATTAAATGACTTCCTGAGTGACAGTTACTTCACTGGTTTGAATTTATTTGAACAAAATACAATTGTAGAATCAATTGTAAAATAATAAATATTAATAATAATGATAATAGTTAGACAATCATCTGATAATTATATAATTTTGACTGTTTGCCAAAATTGTAAACATTTGGTTAGGTAACCCTCACCCTAACCCAAACTTTTTCTACTTCTGATAAGCTTTCAAGGTTGTCAAAAAATACAAATTTATAGTTGTATGTAGGCTCTCTGGCACTGTGAGCATTAATACTTGTGCGATGGTATGGTGTGCCACTCTGTCAACTATTGCTTTGGTGGTGGGCTTTCTATCCCACTGTGTTGAGTTTCTTTAGTTAGTCGCATTTCCCCATGAACCTCCCCCTTACAGCATAAGGTACGTGTAGGGGTGGGCGATCTGGCCAAAAAAAAAATCTGAATTACAATCCAAAATCTAAATTTATCTGTTTCAAAATGGTGATTAAAACCACAGTTTAATTTAAAGCTGTAAACAGAAGCACGTTTCAAGTACTTAACTCTATTCTACTCTATTATAGAGATTTTCAAATTCATCATTCAATTTTAGTTTGTAATACGTCTCCCAAGGAAGAGCCAAGTGAAGTAATTCATCCGATCCATACAGCTATCTAGTTGGTTTGTTCATGTAGCGCAGATTCGCAAGACAATGAGATTATATGAAGTTTGGAAAGAAAAGTGAGAAAACATTAAATACTGTAGTCTCGCCTGAAAATTACATTGTAGATTGCGCACCCCTAAGTATGCAGGTAGGTATACGTAGCCGAAGCCATACCTACCGGGTAGATCCAATGCAGTAGTATTAACCAGGCTTAAGATAATGATACAGAGCTGCTGTAGCTCAGTCTGTGTTTTGGTCTAAACAAACTCTGACCCAATGATAAACAGACAATGACAGTTTCATTTTAGGGTGAATTCTCAAACCACAAAAGTCCAAATTCTACAAGGAAAGACCAAACAAAGCTGGCTTCTTCCCCATCTACACAAACACAACACAAACACAAACTGACTTGGTAAAAAAAGGTTCCTACCTGAAAAAACACAGCCATGGCTGCGATGATCCTCTTCTCCCTGAGCGCTGCACCAAGGCTGTCGAAGTCATCTGAGTTGTACATGTAGATCTGCATCTGTGAGAGACAGAAATACTGAGTTAGGCTGGGGGGCACAGACTGCAGAAGATTAAAGCTTCGAATCAAATTCAGTAAAGACAGTGTAGAGCTGACAGTTAATCTCCCTCACAATAAACAATTGAGATTATTACAGTAACCTGCTTATGTCAGCATTTCTCTGGGAATTTGTATCTGTAGCCAAACATGTGGGCATGAGAAAATAATGACGTGTTTCAATAGATTATACACATTATGTAGAATAATACTGCTTGTATTACTTTAACTTGTACGTATAAAGTCTGTGACACCATCTTTTATTTATGAGAACTCAAAGTTGCCACCCTGCAAATAGTCTTCTGTAAACTGGCACTCTTGAAAGTTTTAAAGACATTCATTTGTGGATTGCAGTTAAATACAAGCAAAACAGAGATTGTAATTATCACTCCTGATAATGTGTACACAACAGCTCAAGGCCTTATGTACTGGAGGAATGATTAGATGGGTAAAGTATGACCTCAGGTCAGTCAGAGCTATGATTCATCAGAATTTTTTCCCCTGCCTATCGACACACAGCTCACATGCATTTCTTTCTGTTATTATGCATAATTAAATATAAATCCATTTCCTGTATGTCTATGTAGCAATGTATGTTTGTTGTACTACTAGAGGGTGGAGACTTTTAGGGGTGGCAGACATATATGCTGATTTTATCTCCCTCCAAATGAAGATATTTGAACTGAAACATTCAATTAAATAAATTATTGTTTTATTTCCAAATCTACAATTTTTTCAAATATGTATTTTTTGCTGTACACCTATTATCACTAAGTCTAAAACAGATGATTGAATAAGTTTACATTTTTAACACATTATTTTTAAAACGTATCTAAATGTGTTAAATTTGACAGCATTTAATATCAAACTGGGTGGCAAAAATATTTTTATGCCACCTTATTATGCCACCTCTAGATCGGTCCCTGCTAATAGGAGCTAGGGATGAATGTCAGTTTGTTCCAAAGCAAGAGTTTTAGGGTCATTGTTACGTTTACGCACCAACACAACAAACCAACAATGTTAGTCCACCATCCTCCCATCTATCTGGCACCAGCTTGAACCATGGAAGCTGCAGCAAGGACTCAGCCTTAGTACATGACCAGGTAAGCTACTGGGGTTCCCATCAACTTTGACTTTAAAACCAGTGTCTCCTGACTTGGAATGACTTGATATCTTCCGAAAGCCCAAAAATTAAAAATGTCAACTATATAGCTAATTAATTCTTTACTTTTATGATATATTTTTTATGATGATCATTACTCTTCATGGGACAGATATGACTTAAGTTAACATTAGCTACAAGCTAATAGTTTGCAAACATGAAATCACTGTGCCCTTTGTGTGGTGTGCAGCAGAAGTTGCAGTTCAGAGTTCCATAATGACGTGTTTAGAACTGAAAACACAACTTAGTCTGGCTTCAGACTTTATGGCCAAGACTTGAGACTTGCAAAACAATTACATTGTCCCAGCTTTGTTATTTTCATTCATGCATTAATCCATATTTGGGGTGAGTGTGTCTGGCAGCAGGATGTTGTATGTTGTATTTGAGGCAAAATAAACTCCAGTATGTGTGTTAATGAAGGAGTATGTCATCCACTGCAGCATTGTGGCTCACTGATAGTCCTGGGATGTATTTTTTATAATTAAAATTAATTCCCTAATAATCCATTCATTGTACTAGCTAATTACTACATACATATTGAGTGACTTCAGATACACACACAGATCTCTAAAGTAAAAGTGATGAATGAAAAGTATATTGTCAGTCTCTTATTTGTGTTGATGTGATAACCAGATTGCAGCCTCTAGTCAGTATTACTGTGAAATGGACATGGATGATGCGTTGTTGCTTGGCGAAAACCAATGAGAACAAACACACACACACAGAAAATTGGTCAAACAGTCAGGTGCTATCCGTTGTCATGGTGATGTGGAGGCATGACGCATTAAGGCACAGCAAATGTGTGTGTGCAGAGGGAGCACATTATTGTGGCTTTGTGTGTGCATGTACATAGAAACTGTCTTTATACGCATGTGTTTACATAATTTGCAGTGTTGGGGAACACATTTCTGCATGCCAAAAGCAATTCTGGGGGCTTCTTCCTTGCCAAGATCAACACTGCCAATATCACTTGTGTAGCATTTTCTCCAGCTTGCTAATCTTCACATAAAGAGCCCTGCGCATTGCTTCTTGATCTACTTGCGCAGTAAACAGTTGTCAAGCAGCCTGATATAGAATCTGTTTGGTGAATTTATAGCAGAGACAGCTCAACTGGAGCAACACATTCTCCCAAAGAGGTATTAATTAAAGTCATCGTGGGGGGATTGTGCTTGTGAATGCAGCAGTGAGACAGCAGCTCAGCAATTTGAATCTGTTCAAACACAGCTGTATTTGCAATAATGATGGTTGTATACTTTCTCACACAGTGAAACTGAATGGACAAAAGACTGCATTCTACTCTGCCGATGAGATGAATGCAACATTCAGCTACCCTGCAACAGTTAAACTGAGTGACATGCAGCACAAGGTTTAAAGTGAGGTACGGGGCCACTCAAGGGGCCCTTAAACAGACTGCTGAATGAAGGATAAGCAGAATGACAAATGCTTTTATTTCAGTGTCATTTTATTCATTAGCTATTCATTACAATGTTACATTAGAATCAAAAGACCTCATCCAGCATTGAATTACACAACACATGGCATTATATGTGTGGACAACTGTATTTGCTGGTAAAAAGTCTTATTTAAAAGAGATATTACTTTGTTACCATTTAAAGGTCCAGTGTGTAGGATTTAGTAGCATCTAGCAGTGTAGTTGCAGGTTGCAGTTCAGTTGTAAAATACAGTAGACCAAAAACTGAACTTTGGGGGATTTTGGGAATACGCACCAAAGCATCAAAGTAGCTATTTTGAGGCACTTATTTCCTTACTTTTATTGTATACTTCTCAGAAAAGGTCCTTACCTGGGCCTCAGTAGTGGGTACGGTCGCGCTCACCAGAGGTGGCAATACTTAATAAGAAGAAACAATACTCATGGACAAAAATCAGAGGTGCTGGTACTCAGTACTAATGAAAACTGGCCCATTTCAGGCACTGGGTTCAACATGGTGGCCAACAGGGGGGGAAGGACAAACCAAACACTGGCTCTCTTTTTTTTAGTTTCTACACACTTGGAAGGCTGAGCTGTATTCAAAGTGGTTTCCACCTGCAACTTTACTAATAGATGTAAAATCCTACACAGTGGAAGAGTCCATGCTGCTGATATTACGGTTTAATGGTGTATACTGTTAATAATGGTGTTATTAATAATATATCAAAAACAGAATACTGACTAACCTCCATATTCTACTTTACACTAATGGAACAATTCCACTGAATAGCCTTGACCCTGGGTGTTACTGGACATAAATTACTAATGCAGAATCATCAAGTATGAATATAATTCAAAAAACAGCTTAATAGCCATGTTCAGATTAAGGTGTTTTAAGTTTCTGAGAATTTAGTAATGGAAGGTCGAGTATGGTGATATGAACTGCATTTCAAATTTGGTGATTTTTAATCGATCGGTTCAGGAAATTACAGAACCCTAAATAGACCATTACAAAAACAGTTCCTCAAGAAGTCAAAATGGAAATGTCTGGAAATTACCACTCTTTTAGCCCATTCCTGTATTGTTGAAATTTTATTGGACAACAGTGATATGCACTGTGACATGCCACGTTGTAGACAGCCATGTACATTTCCATCCATGTCTAATTAAGTGGAAGATAAGCAGCAGACTGAGGGTTTCAGTATTAGGCTGGGACTGTTTACTGTGGAGCGTTTCCAGGACAAAGAGCTGTGAGGCAGCAGGATAAGACCCGTTTTGTATGTCTAACTATTTGTAAATCTCTTAATTAGACCTTTTTCAGCAGCAGCCATTTTGGCATGACACTAACTGAGGTTCGGTTCCATTTAGTGTATGTTTTTAGTGAACCAACATGTAGAATAACTGCACCATGACTCAGTTTGACTTGAATGAAACAGAACCTTAATTAGTATCATTGGTAACACCTGTGTTTACCCACTGTTTCATGTCAAAATGGCTGCTGTGAAAAAGGTCCATTGGATGATTTCAGTGTCTGACATTTAAAGTGAACTTTTATGGAACAGTTTTCCCATAGAGATCATAATGGCACTAATTTGCAAAAGTTTGCAGAGATACCAGATATGTTACTGTAGATAATTGTGAGGGAATGTGTAGAAAATAATACCCTAGACATCTACAGTGGAAATATTTAATCTGATGGAATGGTGCAGCCATAATAACCATGACATCTTTGAATGTCTAAATGTAAATGCAGTGAAGGCATCATATACTCAAGGAAGTGCTGGAACACACATGATTGCAAGCCTTTCAGAATATCCACTGATCAAACTGAGGTTGAATGTTGATAGCAGTAAGACACAGGCACCATCATAAGTTTACATACAACAAATGTAATTGTCTCATTTATTCACTCACTTGTTTGTTTTCTCTCTGAATCAAACTTTAAGCCTCCTGCTCTCTCAGGTTTGAGAGTGTGTTGCAGATATTACTTGTATAGCAGTCACTGTGCCATGGCCTGCCCTAAGCCTACACCCTCCAAACACAAACCTATGTGTGCCACTGCACATTTAGCATTTGGCCCACTGCACCACTTTCTCCATATTTATAAGAGAGAGAGCCTTCTAGCATGCAAACACAACTACAGGAGCATCTGCCAAGACTTGAGGACAGGCAGAGCAGGCGGAGGAGTCAGACCACCAGTAACAACATCATCGCACTGCTGTCGATTGGTCAATAGCTGCTTCACAGTGGCTAGCTGTGATACCAACTGTGCACAGATGGTACACATCACTGTTGCTATTGGGTTTCTGCACATTGATAGTTAGATTAAATACAATAGATAGATAGATAGATAGATAGATACTTTATTTATCC